CCCCCCCCTCCCCCCCCCCCCCTCCACCCGGGAACGGAGGAACCGCATGCGTGTTCCCAAAAGAAAAAGATTTTTCCGTATTGACTTTAAACGCCGGACTTATGCTGAAAAGGGCGGGGGGGGGGGGTGCAGAAAAGGCTCGTATAACAAAAGAAATAGATCTACCCGTATTGACTACACACCGGACTTATCAGCCAGTTCACGGTTGCAGTCTGAGCATGAGCAGATAAAGGTCATTGCAGAACAAATTTTGTAATACCTGGAGACGAAAATACTGGATACGTGCTCATGAAAGTTATGTAAACATTATTCATTCATGCACATTCAGTGCACTCCATGGTGCACAGGTGGAAGTATTCTTTGAAAAGGGGAACAAAGGCTATTTATAAAGCATCTCGATCGCTGTAGGAGTGATTATTTCAAATGTACAAAGGGGACCACTTCATGTTTTGAAGATCTGTGGATATTCGGGGTCATTGCAGTAAGGTGCTAACCGTGAACTGGTCTATTCAGAAAAGGGGGGTGCTGGGAACACGCATATGCGTACCCTAAATAACACTGAGTGGGGGGGGGGGGGGTGCGGGGCTTGCCGCCATCCGTTGGAAATTAATGAGATATCCATGCAATTGGTTAATTGTAAAGTAAATAGACAGACATCATGTTAATGCATTCAATGGGTACTGTTTCCACAACATTGCACAATCACCACGATGTTTCAAGCTAGGCATGTGTTTTTTAAGTTACTGATATTGTAGGTCATAGAACTTGAGACATTCCTGCAATGCATAAACTGTTTTTTCTGGAGAATTTGGAATTTAAAAGGTGATGGGGGTATATGCAGGTACTATTGATCTTTACCATTAATTGGTGCTCTCTCTTCTCTGTTTGGCCAAAACGACAAACAAATGAGACCCACGCAGTATGTGTGTACAGACAGGCATCATTTAATGCATTCATTGGGTTTGCTTCCACATTTTAGCATATTCATCATGATCATTGACTATATAGTTCAAATTCATTTTTTTGTTAAAGTTATTTAACATGGTACTAATGAATTTATCTGCCATGCGATTGCAATGTGACGCTATATCAAATAGTACCACCACAATATATGAGGTAAAGCAAAGTTTGGCTTGCAGCCAGTATATTAAGCTCTCGTGTTCGATCTTGTAATTGTTAACACCTCAGAATAAAACCAAGTGTGATCTACTGGCTGCAAGCCAACGTTGCTTGGCTGACACATATGGTTGTTAGACATTCAAACAGCTTTGTAGAGACGGGGAACAAATAAAAATAACAATACACCATCGTTAATCGTGAGAATGTTCACTTCTGCGTCTCTCTGCTAAATTCTGCTAACTGTGGAA